TACATGTACAAGTACTTTCTCCGGGTCTTGATCGAGTGATGTATTATAATAGAGACCTGGTGATACATGTGTGTTTGGGGATTTGTTACATACGTAAGTACTTTACCTCCAAGCCTTTATCTGAAGTAGACTTGTAGGGAATTTTCCCCCCTGACTGAAGTCGCCGCTTATTTAGTTAATAGTAATTGTCTTATCAATCGATAACTTGACTGCCAACTCTAAAACAAACTTACACCAAATATAGAAGACTGTATTGTAGCGAACTAAGAAACACGGTTTATATTTGCAGATGGCAGTAATCGATGTTGAAAGCGCGAACTACTTTTTCACAGAAGCATGTGTAACAGCATCAATTCAATACGCTAATAGTACTAACCAGCTAGCTATTCCGCAAAAGATATGCTGCTTGCGCGTTTGTAAAATAAAAAGAGAATAGACAAAGTCAATTCTGTCCATGTTATCCAGAACCGAAACCCAAACCAAACAAAATTCCATTACAAAACAACTGTGTGTACGTTAACCATTCATCGCGAACCCCAAGCTTGCCACTCGTGTTATTGGTTTATTTGGACTTGGCGAGGCCAACAGTGTTGTCTCCCAAGTCGTAGACAGAGTACCATCTTCGCAAGAAAGCGTCACCTAGGATGGCAAGAGGTCCTACGGGTTCAGGGAAGTCCATTCCCATGAAAGCGCTGATGCAGGAGCCCTGAACTTCAAGAATGTAGTCATAGGGACCGATGGTGAAGTCATGGCCGGTGAGAGTGAATGTGAGGTCAGGAAGTGAATCCCGCTTGCTGCACTCAACGGTGTACTGTCCATTCCATCCCTTCTTGGCGCCAATTTCCTTGTTGAGGAGCTCGGCCAAAGTGGAGGGGAGAGCGATGCTACGGCGGTTAATTATAGTTCGAGAAGAAAAGCTTTGGGTCAAAGGAACTTACAGAGAAGTGCCGGTATCAACGATAGCGCCCGTGTTCTCAAGTTGAGCAGTAGCCTCTCCAAAAGTAATCGCCTCGAACTCGACCTCCCAATAAGCCTTTCGACGGACAGGAAGCTTGATGAGCTTTCCCGAGAAATGACTCTCGTCGATACCACCAAAAATAGCCTCACTCTCCTGATCGGTGCTCCCAAGGTAGAAAGCAAACACAGGTTTGTCCAAAAGACCCTGGTGGATCATGTTGTAGAAGGGAGGGGTGATACGGTTGACAGAGATGGTATCGTAGCCAAGCCCAAGAATGCCGTCGAACTTGCCGAAAGCAAAAGCGAGGCCAGGCTCAGAGGTTGCTTCAGCAAAGACCTGGTTTTTAACCTTAAGATCGCCGATCTGGAGAACGTCCTCGGACACGAAACCACTCAAGCTACCAGAGCCGTAGCGGATCTCAAACGAGGTACCGTTGGCCTTGTAAGTTTTGGACGATGACGAGTCGTACTTTGTGTGGAGATAGCAGGCGATCGAGCCACACTGGGTAGAGGGAACCCAAACTGGAAATGGTTAGTTAAAGGTTCAAACTATGATAGGAGGTTTAGCTTACGGTTGGAGCTTCCGGTGTCAAGGACAACCTTGAAACTCTGTGGCGGTGTGCCAAGAGAAATCTCGGAGAAATCTATATTTCGTCAGTTATGGGAGAAGCTCATCTGCCCGGACGCGGATTATTAAGCTTACACTGGGCATTCAGGAAGTTCTGTAATGGATAATATTAATAAATGAACTTGGAAGATATTACGCAAAGGGACTTGCTCACATTAACAGGAATAGCATGACCACCTTCAATGGTCATGTCCTCAGCAGCAGCCTTGAACATTTCCTCGGTATGCTTTTCGGGGCGAATGCCCATATATTTCTGACCCAAAGCCCTCATCTGGGTGTCGATATCGTGATGTGACTGAAATGATCAAAATTAGCAACTCCTGGTTGGTAGAAACAAAATTATTGAGCGAGTAAACACACCAGTTGTTCTGTTAGGGGGACCTTTTTCAAAGGCATCCTGTGAATACCGGCCATAGCCGAACCCAACAGCGAGCCAGCAGCGAAGAGAATAGACGACTTCATGATTGGCGAATTACTAGCTGCACGGCAATAAAGAAGAAATGTAAAGATATAAGAGAGTTCAAAGGTTGAGCGTACAGGACCGAGTAATGCCCAGTCAAGTAGTGAAGAGAACAGGAAAGGAGGGAAGATGAGGACGACAACAGCTTCTTGAGGCGAGAGATGGCGTGGCTGGGAAGTGCCAAGATCTTCTCACATGGGCTGTACGCGCTGACGTCTTCATATCCAACAACAAATCAGGTCTCGTCATATCGTTTAATCCAAATAGATACATGTAGGCCTAGAGACATGCATGTACCATACCATAAAACCCCATACTCTACCTGCTCTTCACTCTCTCCTCTGTCTAAGCACGGCAGCTCCGTATCTAGATCCTGGAACTTGTGGAGTTTCGGCCAGGGGCGGAAGTGGAGAAGACATCGTATTTAACCAGTTCTACAAATAAGGGAAAGCGCAGATGCCAAGAATAATACATATCCTACTTTATATTAGGCATGTCACGCAATACGCTCAACCGTCCAGTCTCAGGCTAGACGGGACTGAATCGTGCAGTCTACTTACCTTGCACTAGTCCACAGTCTGCCTGCGGTCTGACTATGGATTGCATGATTGACCCTCAGGGCTGGATTGGGGCGTTACCTAAGTCGCGTTCTTGCTAGGTTGAGGCGGCCTCAACCTGGAGCTCATAGACAATATGTATCATCACAGTCAAAGAGAACTAAATTAATACCAGAATAGTTCTATATTATATTCTTTCACCTTCATGAGGATGGAAATCTATTTAATTACCATAAACATCATAATAAACAATACCACTAAACTCTTTTAGGCGATATGCAGTCCATAGTCCTTGCAGTCCGTCCTCCCTTTGGACGGACTGGCTTGGCTGGAAAACCGCAGTCCACTACAGTCCATGCAGTCCGTTCTGACCGTCCACCGTCCTGGCTTGGCATAGTCGGCCGCATGTGATGTCCACCAATTGACTCATTCGTCAAGTACTGTTCTTGGTACCTCCGCATTTAACTAGCGAGAAAACCTAACCCTCCCAGGACGGTGTTTGGTTGCTATCATGACATGTAGTACTTGGAGTTATACATACAGTACCAAAAAAGCGGGTGGATCCAGTACCATATCTGGCAAAATACCGTAGGGTTACGGTATTGTTACGGTATTGCTACGGTATAATAGTTAGGATTCCGATTTAATTCAGAAGTTTTGCACAATTCCGTATTGGTACAGTACCTATTACATCCTCTTTTTTCGTACTGTAAGTACCGGGTGTTGAGGGTAAATACGAAGAATTTGATAAGAGAATCTTGCTGTGAAAAGGTGTGTTTATCTTATCAGATTCTCGGTATTTATGGTTAACCCCTGTACATGTAGTGATGGTTCCGTAAGCAGCCAGGACAGTTTCATAAATACCGCCAGCTGAAGAACAGGGGAGCTTGGACCAATAGAATTAGAAACCAAAAGAACCTGGAGATCTTGCCATAACTACAAGTACCTACATATATGTATATGTATACACATAACCCCTGTTCGTCCGTCAACTGGCAATATTCGTTCAGTGATGGTGAACGACTATCCTACTACTAGTATAGTACATACATGTAAGTACATGTAGTACTTATAAGGGCTAAGTCGAGAGTATACATCTAAGTACAGTATTAAAAAAGCGGGCGGATCCAGTATATACCATATCTGGCAAAATACCGTAGGTTACGGTATTGTTGCGGTATAATAGTTAGGATTCCGATTTAATTCAGAAGTTTTGCACAATTCCGTATTGGTACAGCACCTATTACATCCTCTCTTTTCGTACTGTACTTATACCTAGGGGGTATTCAAAGTTTCACTAGGCCAAGGGATATATACATCGTACTGTAAAATCGAGCTTCGATTATAGACACTCGCGCATGACGGTGCCGAAAAGTCTTTTTTCTTCTTCTTACGAACCCTCCATAGATAGTTCTTTGGCCCTTTCAAATAATATCTTTGCACGTACTCACTGACCATGAACATCATATATGACCCGTCGTTCGTTCCCGGTTTTCACAATAGTGGGTCTAGAGCTGTTAGGTCTGTAAAGCTGTCCAGAAAGAACAAATTGTTCTAAAGCTAGAAAGGTCTGCCGGAAAATGACACCAAAGAGGTTCGCGGAGTGCCCCGAATGTCGGAGTCTACAGAGAGTCACCTGTAGAATTGCATAAAGTTGCCTATGGTTATAAGTTTAGTTCAATAATTATTTAGCGACCAATTGCAAGTACATGTTACTGGCCGATAATTCTACGATTCATGTGATCATATATTGGTGTACATGTAGCCATAATACAGTACGTACTCATGCAGGTGAAATAATCCGGCATCATTAGTAATTTAAAAACTAGTACTTCATGGATTCTGGTATTTCGGTACTTCACTGACTTGGTACATACATGTACCTTCATAGAGCCAGATTTGGGACTACATGTACATGTAGTCATGGAGTATGACTCGGTTAGAGAACAATAGATACATGTATTATCCCAATAACAGGAACGTTCGGGCCTAGCCAGCTTGCTGGCAGGTAGTCCAGGTTAGGTGATCTACAACGGGAATTGCCAGAACTGGTTAATTTCTACTATGTTGAAAACGAACGAAGGGATAGGTCATAGGTGTGCTATACTTAATTCGATCATACACATATCCCTGATTTGATCACGTTATCACAATACTTTTCGGCACCGCCATATTCAATTAAAGTAGCTTACACACATAAAGGTAACAACGCCAAGAAGATCATCATACAGTGGGGTTTTAGGTGCTGTCTGTGCCCCCTTATCCGCTTTACTCCTGACCATTGTCGACGACACCTTCGAGCTCACCATTTCAACAATAGGGACGAAAACCACTGCGATTTAACCCTGCCCACCCCATACTAGCACTATTACCATCGCGTTGACGGCGGTGGGACAGGATGTTAGGAGTCGTGCGTCTTAGACGCTATAGATCCCTGCTTCTATTCGTTGTTATTGCGATCATCGTGTTTACCCATTTCTACTCTTTTGGTGATTCTGCCAGTTCGTTTTCCGTCGATAAGTTAAAAGAATATACATCCACCGTATCGAAACAAAGCCCGCAGGATGTGCAATGGCCAGTAGCTGAGGTCGAAACTCATATTCCACCACCCGAGATTCCGCCCATAGATAAACCAATCCCTCGGCCCTCGGAGTCTGAGAAAAAACCTCTAGCTGCAGACAAAGAATCTTTGCACGGAGCGGCGGCGCATACAGTGGCCACGTCTTCAACAAAGTCTGCGAATTCTGTAAAAACATCTACACCGAAGCTCGAAGATGTGCCCTCAAAAGAACAAAGCACTATTAACGTTGCCCCTGCGGTACCATTGCAGGTACATTGGGAGAAATCACCAGAGCATTACCCACTACCCGAGGAATCAATCATTCCATTACCCAAGAAATACAAGAAACTTCCCCAAATACAAGCTTCATTTGCACAGGAAAGCGAGACGAAGCGCAAAGTGCGTATCGAAAGGCAAGATGCTGTGAGAGAGGCAATGAAACATGCGTGGAAGGGCTATAAGGCACATGCCTGGGGCCATGATGAGATAATGCCTGTGAGCGCATCTTATAAAGATGGTTTCGGTGGGTGGGGGGCAACATTGGTTGATTCACTCGACACCTTGTGGATTATGGAGCTCGAGCACGAGTTTTTAGAGGCTGTTAAGGCGACAGGAAAGATTGATTTCACAACTACGCCCATGACAAAAATCCCTGTTTTTGAGACGGTCATCAGATACCTTGGAGGTCTGATAGGGGCATATGATGTTTCTGGCGGGAAGCATCAGATTCTACTTGATAAAGCAATCGAGTTGGCTGATATGTTATATGGTATCTTTGACACTCCGAACCGCATGCCGATTCTATATTTTGGGTGGAAACCGTATGTCTTCCCTTATGAAAGAAACAAATTCGGCAATGCAATGAATGGCTAAATTTAAGTAGAACGCAAGTTGCCAAACAAAATCGTGCGGATATTCGAGTTGTTTCAGCCGAACTCGGATCTCTTACTGTCGAGTTCACACGTTTAGCTCAGATCACAGGGAATGATAGATATTACGATGCGGTTCAGCGCATCACAGATGCATTGGACGAATTTCAGCCCAAGACAAGTCTTCCCGGCATGTGGCCATTGACCATGGATACGTCTGGGTGTCAAGTAGTCAAAGTTCCTGTTGAAGAGCAGAAGAAGACTGTGCCACAGCCGGTACCCCCACCATCAAATGGCATATTTGCGGAGGATGCAGGTGAGGGAAAAATGGTAACTCCGCCGGTCCATAACCCTGGAAAAAGGCAATTGCCTCAAGTTCAAGAAATAGATTGGTTAGGGGAACTACAGGGAGGGAAGATCTTGACCGAAAGCGAAAAGGATGCTAGAGATAAAGCAGCGGCGGCAGCTCTGGCAGCAGCGGGACCACCACCTGGGTTGACAGTTGAGGCGCAGAGTGGAAAGATTCATCATGAAGGAGAAATCGAGCCCGGAAGATCCAACGCCATTGGGGCGCAATTAAGTGCTACTAGTACTGTTGCCGCCGCAAAAACTTCCCCGTCTTGTCTGCCTCAAGGACTAAAAAATGCTGGATACCAAAGGGAACAAAAATTTACATTGGGTGGAATGTCGGATTCCTTATATGAGTATTTAATTAAGGTATGTCACGATTATCTCTATTCTAACCTCCATGTTCTCACGTGTTTGATATATATAGGAGTATATACTCCTCGGCGGTGCATCTGATCAATACAAAAAGATGTACGAAAGCTCCATGGATATCGCCAAGAAATATCTGTTCTTCAGACCACTTGCGGACAAGAACCCCGATGTCCTACTTTCTGGTAACGTTTACGTGAATGATGCTGGTGACGTCAGCTTTGATACTAACACAGGTCATCTGGTAAGAATTCCCGTATTCCGCTGACAGAATATATTTCTAACTTATGTAACAGACTTGTTTCACTGGGGGGATGCTGGCTCTTGGTGCAAGAGCGCTCGGTCTCGAGGCTGATCTTGAAATTGGCGCCAAACTCACGGATGGGTGTGTCTGGGCATACTTCTCTATGGAAAGCGGCATCATGCCCGAAGGATTTCAGACCGCGTACTGCCAAGATCCCGAAAACTGCAAATTCAACCCGACACAGTATTATGAGCAGCTAGTACCAAAATACAGACTGCCAAAAAAGAAAGTAGATGGAACTACAAATGTCAAGAGGGACGGCCCAACTCCTGCAGAAAAACAACGACTTCAGGCCATTGATCCTAATGCAGTTCCGAAAGAATATCCAACAACTCTTGAAGGAGTTGCGAAGCAGATGATTGAAGAGGAATCATTACCAAGTGGATTCACCAAGATCGGAGACAGGAGGTATTTAGATTCTGGTACCTAGGAACTTCATACCGTTATTGATACACCTTAGGTACATTTTACGACCAGAGGCCATCGAATCTGTTTTCATAATGTATAGAAAGCTCCCTCTTAATTAATGAATAGGCCCTTGCTCACACCTGGAACTTAGGTATCGGCTTACAGCAGATACAACATGGCAGGATAAGGGATGGAAAATGTGGCAAGCCCTTGAAAAAGCAACACGGACGGAGTTTGCCTTCTCAGCGATAAGTGGCAAGTAGTGAATTGAACCTAAATCTATGAAAACCTTCTAACATCAACGGCTTTTAGACGTAACCAAAAGTCCATCACACCCCATGTTTTCCCAGATAGACTCGATGGAATCATTTTTCCCCGCCGAGACACTCAAGTGCGCATCTCCCGTCCTTCCCTGACGAACGTCACTCATTATTTTATCTAGATATTATTACCTTTTGTTCAGCGAGCCTGATCTGATATCTTTGGATGATTATGTCCTGTATGTTTTAACCTTTCGATTCATAATACCCTCTTATATGATACTTATACTAGTGTTCATAGGAATACTGAAGCGCATCCTCTGAGGCGTCCGCGGCCCTCATCGTAGATTTAACACTTGTCTTTTTTCTTCATTTTTCCCCCGGACTTGTGACTTTGATTGATTGTATATAGGAGCGAAGGGCTGTTTTTATTATACGTAGGGTTAAGGCAACCGTAATGATATACCTCTCGGATCCTACCTGAATATGAAAATATAAAAGTCAATGAGCAACTGGTCCGAATTAGCTAGGGCTTAATTCAAGGTACGCTATGGTGGAGATATTCGACCTACATATCTAGTCAATGCGATCCAATCCGTAATCCGGGGTTTTATGAGGCCGAGGCACCTTCTTCAAATAGTATATATACAAAGTGATTGGTCATCCGGCAGTCCTTACTACTAACTTTCCCAACACTTCTACTTCAAGACTTTTGAGCCCCCCTCCTATAGCTTTCTCATTCAATAGGCTTTGTGTGTTGAGGTTATCGGACTTGATCTTGTAGTTCTTCGCCACTTTGGCCCAATCCACCACCGTTTCCTGCAGTAAATTCTCGTCCGTGAACTTTACAGCTGTTCCTTCCACGGACCTTTCTAGGTGTGATTGTATGGATTCCAGAGTAATGGGTGCAGAGGGTGTAGAAAACTTGATGCACAAGAGAGAGGTAGTAGTAGGTAATATCCCAAATCGTTTAAAAGCGTCCGTGATCTAAGGTATTCGGCATGCGTTAGATAAACTTATAGTAGCTGGTATGTTAAGTATATAACCTACATTGTTGTTTGGGCTGAGACAGAATACGGTCTCCGAATGGACATTTCTAGTGCGCAATTTCCCTGCCACGAGGAGATTGTGGATGGCCTGGTGAGCAGCTGCAAGGGCGTGGACTTTCGATATTATCTGGCAAAATTTCCCGTTAGTCATGACCCCCGAATTAACTGAGCCAGCCTCCTACAGTATTCGCATCAATAAAAGCGTATTCAAATTCGGAATTTCCGGCTAGAAGCTGATCCCGGAGGAAGGTTGCGTTTTTCACATCCTTGAAAAGGGTTATATACACTGTATGCGGTCGGGGGATGTGTTCTAGCTGGAGGGAAGTTATTGGAATTGTCATGGTTGAGGTTATGATATAGTTGGGACCCGTGCAGCGCGGGGTTTAAAGTAAGGCTTAGTCTTAAAACGTGATGGAGGCTCAGCCGAGCCTCAGTATCGTAGACTTCATTTGTAACACATCCCCTAACCCTTAACATGATGCCACAAAGCAGCCTACGCGTGACACAGTGACTTCACGTATTTGTTAGGTAACTACAATTAGGTACATATACTTCTTTACCGGATCATAAGACCATTCATCCTTATGGTTATCGCATCGCTCGGTGGTACCGATGCCATACACATGGTCCCGCAGTTCTTCGGGCATGATAATCGTGAGGTGGCTCCAATAAGTTATAAGAAGGGTCCGTCCCTTATCACGACTGACAATAAATATGGGTTTCTAGATCAAAGATACCACACTCAACATCTTTGGCGCAAGTATTGCCTTATTCCGTATGGCCGGAAGAAACAAAATGTTGAAACAGCTTGAGAAACCATATAACACCCTCCCGTGGAAATGGTGATCTATGTAACACCTCCGTACCTGTTCTCTCGCCAAAAGCGTAATCATTGTCATGTAGGGTCGATATGATATCAGATATGTACTCATATATTTTAATGCACGATTAAGACGATGATCATAGGTTGGTGCAGTCTATCTACCATCTTCTTCAGATCCATCGAGGAAACAGCGCGAGGGAACAACAAACATTCTTGGGAAAGTTACAGAGTAGAGGGTGAAAACCTCGGCTTTATGAGTACATGTATGTTCCTCGAGATTTCTCGTTACACAGAGGTAAACAATTAAACGTCAATTCCGAAATTTTGTAGTACTCCCTAGGCTTGGCGAATAGTAGCTAAGGAGCCAACGATAATAGAAATGTCGTTTTGGAATTGACCAATAGAGAGGAGTCGCATACTTCAGACTTTGAAATGAGTTATTGTGTATCCCCAGGGCGCAAAATGACTAAGAGTTATCCTTATCAAACGAGTCATCAATTGCGTGTTCAGAGAACCCCCTGGCGATAGAGAAAAGTTGAGAAAGCGGTGAAGGAGGGACGGCTTGATTGACAGCTAAGTTATCTGTGGATCCTGAGCTTGTATTTGTGTTTCACGAAATCCAACAGTTAGGTTATAAAACCAATTGCCAGGGCACTGTTCTCTCATTGGCTTTGCTGGGCCAGGGCCCAGACCAAAATGTAATTCGATTTCGAGTGATAATTCATGAAACTTACCCTGCATTCAGCGATGATTATTCTAGAAAATAAGCTCCTCGATCGCCCGACGGATATCTTGACCACGAGTTTAACAGATGGATTCAAAACCCAGCTCTATGGATTGTGTGGCGTACGTGTGGGCGCTGGGTTGGTGGAAGATATCGAGACACGAGGGTTGACATCCTATGGATAACAATTGATTACCTATCTAATCGAGGCGCGGCTAATGACCCTTGTCTTGAGGTATGATCTGCTAAGAGAAGAGCTACCATACCCCTGCCCAGAGAAATGTTTAAGCTTACAGTACTTGCATGAGTGGTATAACTACAACTCTGCACGTCTGGCTGGCCTAAGATGTACGTACGAGGCCGCACTGGCACTCCTCAATTCACGCAGTCACACTGCTGCACAAACACACATGCACAACAAAAACTACTCTGGCAGTTGTTGACAATTCACTGAGCATCGTAGCAAACAAAGCCTTTTTTTTTTTTTTTTTTTTTTTTTTTTGGTTGTCGACTCTTGCGAGTTTTTTCGCATGAATTTCTACAGCCCCCCTCCCCAGAGCTCCAGAACTTTGATCGACAGTGTCTTCTATTCAGCCCTTTAACCCACGCCCGACAAAAAAAACCAGATTGCTTCACACCCTCGGCGCTTATCTCTCCTACAATAGATACCCTTGCTATCCACGTTCCCCAAGCTCGCCTCATCCCCACTCCAAAGTTCACTCCCCGAGAATCGACTCAGACACTCAATAATCTCGTAAGACACCCTCACCAACTTGATAATTTCTTTAAACCAATCTCTTTTCTAAACTCACCATAGGTTTTGATTCTGTCAAGAGAGAATAGAACAACTTCATAGAGTTCGGAGTCACCCATGGAGACAGACACCGCTAGTACACAGTCACTCCCGCAACCCCCGCACCTCACCAAAAGACGGGTCAGCTTTGCCGAGGCCCCAGCAGTTCGCCCAAAACTCAAGGAAGCTCCAGTTGACTCTGAAAGCAACCACGAAACTGAGGCTATGGCAAAGAGGGATAGAGATGCTATCAAGGCAGCTGCAGGAGGATGGGAAATCGAACGGTCAATATACAAGAAGAAAGTGGCCGGCTCACGCACGAAAGGAGAAGAATCGCAGTTGCCGGTTCCGAAGGAACCTGTCAGAAGAAACACTGCAATTTGAACGATCTACGAGGGGAAAGTTGGAAATTGGGGGTTTGGTGATGGTGGTGAGGCTATCAAAGGTTTGAAACGATATGCACTCAATCGAGAATGTACCTAGACGCCCATAATTATGTCTTTTATATCATTGACTCCATTTCAGTTTGGCTGGACAAGGCGGGTGTAAAGAGCGATTTTCTTCCAAGACTGTACTTATTTTCTCAATCTTTAAGAAATTATAGAAGAAACCTTTGGAAGACTTTCTCGATGGTGATGGCGTTGCCTCTAGCAGGTGCGATGGCAACCTAGTTGCATCACCACAGATCACTCGTGCGGGATCTCCGATCAACAGGGGTTAAATACATTATTTTCCCGGGTATGCGAGGTATTACGCACACAATAACAGCGCAGCCGACCCCTGAAGCTTTGACAACTCTAATTCATCCATGTTTTATGGGAAGGTAGATATAACGAGTAGGGTGCCGTACCAGTAATTCCGGTGATCCGAATCTGATTACGAGCGAAAAACAGCGATCGTGGGGGTATTCAAGAGATCGGTACGGGAAGGATTTTTATGCGATACTCTGGGCCTTGGTTGCCGTATTAATCGCCGCTATGTTTTTCGATCGTACACACGTGTTCCACACCCGCGTGCTAAACATTCACTTCCGGAAAACTCCAAGATACTAACTCCAATCACAGAAAGATACTTAGTTGACTCTCGTTGTAGTATCACCGCATATAGTGATATCTTCGCCGTTATTATAGCAAGCACTGATCCCGAAATGTTGTTTTCTTAGATTCTCAGGTTGATATATACCTGTCTTCTAGGTTTATAAACTTTTCGGTTCAACTACATCGTGAATATAATATATCCTCTCCCCTTAAGCTGTCAATTGCTGACCCTTTTTGTGGGTTCCGAGAAACAACAGCAGATCCAAGTAAGAGATTGATTCAAATCCAATATATAATTGATAAAGAAACCCAGCAAACCTACACTTTTGGCCCCCACAAATGGACCAGCATTTTGGTGACAGCTTAAGGGAGATGGCTTCACACGTATTGGAAGTGTTGAGAAAGAAGAATCAATTTTAGTTATCAGTCCAGCATGCAACATACATGTATGTATCCATCAGCACAGAATTCGCCGCCCATGGCGCACGCATGCGCAACATACAGGGTTGGGCTATCCTTCAGAATTTCCAATCTCAAGCAATCGTCATGGTCATTATTTAAAAAAAAAAAAAAAAATCAAGACAAGATACGAACTCTAGAAAATCATGAGCATAGAAAACCTCCATTTTTACCCTCCGAAAAAGAAAACCAGTTACTCTTTGAAAACCCTCGCTGTAACAACCCTAATCTCTATTCTTCTAAAGCGAGAACAATGGCGGTCCTTGTTGGGACTAATTTTTATAAATTAATTAGCATCATAATAAGCAAAAAGAATGGCATCACAAACCGTAAACTTGAGTAAAGTTGTTCCTGCCGTTCCAAGGGAAATCGGTTGTGAAGAATTTGGTACTCTCATCAATCCTGTTCAATCCACCAAATTCTGGCCTGTCCGTGTTCAGGACAATTCTGTAGGTGCCAGCCTTTTCAACGCCAACCCTGTAGTCCGCAAAACTATTCTATCATCCCAATGTCGAACCAGTCAGCAATGAGGTCACGGTAAGTATTCGACTTGGCTTACCGTGGGGTGGAAGTTGAAGATCCAGAGTAAACCAGCACGCTCAAATACAATCACTTTGTCGCTCTCGTTCTTCAAACTGATGTAAGCCTGCGGTGAGTGCAACCATCCATATTTATCCTCGGTAGTTTGCATGGCTGAATCAAAGTCATTGAGAAACTTATATCTCAGAAGGTTATCATCGGTAAGATTGAACTGTCTCCTGGCATAGTGGAAGGAGTTGTTGTTGCCAGCACGCGGGAAATCAAGCCATTCCGGATGCCCGAACTCATTTCCTTCAAAGTTGAGGTAACCCTCGCCACCCAATGCATGAGTGAGTAGGCGGATCATTTTGTGTAATCCAAGACCACGCTCAATGACGGGGGTGAACTCTGTGAGTGTAGACATGTGCGTATACATCTCTTTATCACAAAGCCAGAACATAAGAGTTTTATCTCCGACAAGCCTAGTAGTTTTAGTACGGATTTGAAAAGCAAGAATATTTGAAAATTTGAAACATACGCTTGGTCGTGACTCTCTGCATAAGCAATTGTCTTCTCCTGGTGGCGTCTGTTGATGAGAATCCAACAGATATTTGCCATGTCCCAGTCATCATCTTTCTTCTCTTTCAAGAGCTTGATCCACATATCTGGGATGGCCATGGCAAGACGGTAGTCGAAACCAACACCTCCCAAAGCTAGTGGGAGACATAAGGCAGGCATTCCGGAAACATCCTCGGCAATTGTGATGGATTTTGGATAAACGTTGTGAAGCATCTCGTTGGCCTTTAAATAAAGTTAGCAACTGGTTTTTATTCTAAGATTCTTGTGGGACAACGTACCAGCATGAGATAGACAATTCCCTCTTCATCGACGTTGGATCCGAAGTATTCGTGGTAACCACCAGAGAAACCGCTGAGTTTTGTTAATTTATTATTAGGCTTAAGGATTAGAGGTCAAAACTTACGTCCCAATACCATGGTGAGTGTAAAGAATACTGGTAACACCATCGAAACGGAATCCATCAAACATATATTCCTCCATATAAAACCTCAGATTTGACAAGAGAAATCTCATCACCTCATGATGTCCGTAGTTGAATAATCGTGAGTCCCATAGCTCGTGCCTTCCCTTCCCACCCTCGTGGAAGTATAGGTGATCACTACCATCGAACATATTTAGTCCATCCTCTGTGTTTTTACAAGCATGGGAGTGGACAATATCGAGAAGGACAACAATTCCCAATCCGTGGGCAGTGTCGATCAACTCCATCAACTCCTCCGGAGTTCCATATCTGCTAGAAGCCGCAAAGAAAGAGGTAACCTGGTAGCCGAATGAGGCATAGTATGCATGCTCCTGGATAGCCATCAATTGAATAACGTTGTATCCAAGCTTCTTAATTCTAGGGAGAATATTTGCGGTAAACTCCTTGTAGGTTCCAACTCTGTACTCAGTGGTACTGATACCAACATGAGCTTCGTAGACGCGAGCTGACTTAGGCTTTTCTGGGCGAGGATTCTTGAAGACATATTTCTCCTTGGGATTCCAGAAAACCGCATCATAGATGGGACTTATAGAGAGGTCTTGGGTAACACGCTTGATCCAGGCAGGGATGCGGTAAAGAACCTCACCACCAGGGATTTCCAAAGCAATCTAACAATATGAGAATATGATATCAAAGGGAGATGGTGAATGGGGAGAATGGATAGAACTAACCTTGATTTTGGAGTTATGGGGGACAGCAGGTTGTCCGTTTACAGCAGGGACGACGGTCTCCCAAACACCGAAATCATTCTTAACCATTCTGTTGGCATTTCTATCCCAGTTGTCTATCAAACAAGATAAGCAAATGCCCAAAAGGGGCGAATTTTCCGCAAAACCTACTGAACTCTCCAACGAAAGATGCATTGATGGCATTTGGAGCCCATTCACGATAAGTAATATCGCCGTTAGGAAGGACATTGACTCCGAAATTCTCGTATCCCTAATCAACAAAGAAGACATTAGTATATGATGAAGAGATAGATAGCTTTATTGGGTAGTATACCCTAGAAAATTTCTCCAAACCGCCTTCGTGATGGTTCAACTTTGTGATCCACTCATCTGCTTTGGTGAAGCGGCGACGGAGGTCATCTTTGAAAGGACCTAGCCAAGGGTCTAGCTCAACAACACCAGTTCCATCGGCGGGAACCTCTTTTCCTTCGTACTTAATAGTTTTGAGAGACATGATGGATGCAAACAGATACGATGGGCGTGAGAGAGTCTGTGCAGGAATGACAAGAGGAGTTGAGGATGGAAGAGGGTCAACACTTGGTTTAAGTACTAAATAGGATGGAAGGATTATATGTGGGCAAGACGACTATGGAAGCTGCCTTGAAAGGTGTGAGGGGTATATGTTTCGATAGTACATGAGGGAGATTTTGCAAGAATATGTGAAAGCCATCGAAGATCGCACAGTCGTCGCCAACCCCTCCCAAACAATTTCTGGTACTTGTTGCTTTCTCCCAAGCACAAACTGAAAATCACAGTGCAACGTCATGTCGGGGAGATGAGGGGTCCGCAGCCTAAGTTGGAAAGCTCTCATTGCTCTCGACGAGTCCATCCCATGTTTAGTTCACGCACTTTACTTTTTCTACATGCATGCATGCTGCGATGTATTTTACCCAAGAGTGGATGCTTTTTGAGCTGCAAGGCCCTGCCTCGAGAGTAGCTGCTTTCTTGCTTTTTTGTTTTTCCGACAGCCGGATTGTTTGGTGATGGTTGGGATGGAGGCCCGTGCAGGGAAAAGGAATGTGTGGCGATGACCGCTTAAAACGGTTTGCAGGTGTGGCGGTGGAGGGCTATTACAGATTGATATAATGGGTTTAACCCAACTTTAATGACAGATGAGGGGCTGTCAGGGTCCTGTCCCACCTGAACATGGCACTATCAATCTTCACCATGCTTTCTCTCCACAATACCTATCATGATAAATTTACGCTGTCCCTCAATATCTTTCACCATCACACACACTGAAGCGATTACCGCCGAGAACATTCTTTGCTGTTTCCGATACAGCATCACCACCTTTCTTTCTTACCATGTCCGCCGCTGCCGCCGGACAAGACTCCGAGCTTGGTGGCTACAACATAGGAGGGAACCGCCTCATGTAAGAATTCTGCGCTGTTCTGTTTGAAGATGACGAGCCCATCGGAAACGTCTCCAAAAAAAACTTGCGTGCATACCGACATTTTTCAATTGAGATGCCCCGGGTTGCCGGGTAATTCCAGGTCATCGAATTTGACGGATTCATCGCAACTCTTCCGATTCGGAGAAATATTTACCTTTTACAAAGGAGAAGATAAGGCTCCTGGTACGTACGCCCTGCCATTACTTCCACTCTACATGACATGTGCTCGCATCCATATGGAATAGAGTAGCATGCCGCCGCCCATGGTTACTCTAGAGTAGAGTACATATCTACATGTACCTACATGTATGTACATAGAACCTTTAATATTAATTTCTGGAGTAAGCTCGTCGATCACAGGAATTTGCCATGGTCTATCAGACGGCGACTGTACATATCACTCGAATTTCGCTTCTTACCGTGGCTTGGCATTTGCGTGGTTTGGTCTAAAGCTTGTTCTCTTTCTCATCGCCCACACTTGGCTACAGAAATTTCGCCTTCCAGGTTCTGGAAACCTTACGCAATAATTTAGAGGCTTCTTACCATTCTAGTTGCCTCTTGACAAAGCTACTCTACGTACTTACATGTAATAAGTTTTTTTTTTTTGAACAACAGATGAGGTGATGACTTATTGTAACCAAGGCTTCTGCGGTCTTTTTTCTCTCCAAATGCTCCAAGCTCTATCGGGATGATGCGTGTGTTGCTAAAATAACGCTGCATACATGTAGTGACCACCTTGAAATTGTTGGTACAGATGACAACGGGGATGCCGTCGCAATGAATAGCAAAATAAGCTTGTAACACTGAAAGGAAAGGATGAATAAAGAGGATAAAAAAGTTGATTCTTAGAAGACCGATACCTGGGAGAACAAGAAACCTGAAGGGCCTAGTAATAATTAATGGTAGGTGGCCGGAGACATACCGATGCGATTCAGGCTCCGATTGAATTGAGAAGAAAAGAGCCGGCATCGAATAAGGATCCACAGCGAGGCATTAAGATGCTCTGCCTGATAAGATCATCGGGATTCACTGCGGTAACTACATGTATATGTTACTTCACAATATTTTCCTTACGATAGAGTATGTCTGGTAAATCCTCAAAACAGCTTAAACCGTTTTTCTTGCTCAAAACAGTTTTCAGAGAAAATTGGCTCTGACCTTATTTATTTTAATTTTTTTTTTAAATCTGTAGAGATTGTTGAAACATCAAGACCTACCTAGTTTTTTCCACTTTGAAAGAGTTGGCGCCAATACAGTTGCCCGCAGCTAGTTATACCGAATGCCAAAAAAGACACAAATCTGCTGTAACGAACGGATTTTGGTGATCCGAATCTGAATTCCACACAGAATCTTGCCTGCTGTGCCGAATAATCTGCTGTATCGAATGAGAATTTTTGGAATATGCAGGTTCGTTATAACGGGGGGAGACTGTATGTTAAACGGGTCCTTAATCGTAGATGAACACTAAGCCTTTCTGACCCCAGCAAAACTGTTGACTTTGGTACTGTGATAATCTGCTATGGTGGCGTCCAGAGGGGAGACAAAACAGCAATCTCCGAGATTTGGCCCGAGGGTTGGGCGTAGTTCGGAGAATAGACGATATTTCGGGTTGCCATCATCCCTTCGGCGACGGGTACGAATCAAGCAATCCCGGAAACCAATGAAAGAACTGATCAAGCCGAGATGTGAGTGTAATATTCCCCCAGGGCTTGCGAGGGCGGGAATGCTGATGATAAGAAATAAAGGAATAAAGGAAAGTGTACCAATTGAGCTATTCTCAACTAAATGAGAAAAATAGGTGGAGGTGGGGTCTCATGTTTTCCCTATGATGTGGGGCTATCGTGATACCCTCCATGATTAGCCCCAGAATATGAAGAGACCGTGACACCTTTGACGTCTCTCATTCAAGATCTGCCGTGGGCAAGCTCAACGCGCTCGTGCGGAACACGCAAGACCAAAAGACTTGTATCCATAGCCAGTGTAGGTGTGTAATCCGAGCCTGTTCTTCAAAACCCAGTTACTAGTGAAGTTTGAGTTCAACTCTAAAGAGTCCAAGCGTCAAGAACACAGAAGACCCAATTCTTCTATCACTTTTCTTGTTCTACTCCTCTACCCCTCGAACTCGTCTCTTCTCTTACCTCTCTCCATCTCTCTCTCTATTTATCTCACACATCGGAACTTCTCTTATAAATGCTATCTCATCTCTATAGATCTATCAACTGTAATACGCACTGATCAAGGCAATCCTTTTGCCTCAAACCTCCAAATGTTTCACAACTTTTGCATCAACATAGCCAGAAGACTGATATTTCATTCTTACCTTTCCCCACTTCCTATCAATCAACTCGAATCGAATTAGCAACAGAGAACGGACCGGTGACGAGGCACATGCATGGCCATGTTCCATGGAGAAAACGATAGCCAAGCTGGGTGCGTAGCCGGACCCATCAAATCCTCAGCCCCCCTGCTCGATAGTGTGGCCTACATACATACCACCAATATGCTCAGACCCACCTATTGCTGGTTCAAATACTCTTTCTTTATTTTCTTTGAGTTTTTCAGTACTTCAAGTCAAACTTCTTGAGTTCTGTCGAGCATTTTGAGAATGTCTATTACATATGGAAATTTTGGTTTGTCGTCATGGGTACTCCTATTCTTTTTGCTGTTTCCTACGATACGTTGCTTTTCTCTGTCGCCCAACCTGATACCCGTCTCTTTCCGATCCTTTCAACGTTTGGTCAGAGAACACGCAACGTCGAGTTATTCCAGCTCAGGCGGGTAGAATTCTGTATCGTGAGATTGTTAGCCGACCGATGAAGTATACACGAAGCCTATAGATCCTAAGTTGTGTCCTTTTTATCGATCTTCTTCCTGAGAAACGAATTCCCCTATTTTTTCCTTTGGAGAAATAGGCTTTCTCTTCCTCCCCCTACACTTAACGCGTCTTTGTTCGAGCGTTTTCGGCAACGGTAGGCTGGGTGCTGTCGCCCTTGCCACGCTCCCTCCTTCAACCTCTCCATCCTCGCGCGCCCTCCCACCAGAGATTTTCTGGCTCTACGTTTCTATCTCTCCACTCGCGAAAGCAAAAAAGGTACGCACTTTATTTTCCTGCGCTTGTCCCCATCCCCATCCCATCCCATACATACATCGAATCGCTTCTTATTCTCACAAGCTCCGATCCCTCCAACCCCCCTCCCCATTTTACTTTGCCTTTCTTTACCTTTGCGCTTCCCCATCCCATCCCCATTCCCATCACACACGTCGTATGTATGTACATGACATTATTGTATTTACATACACCCGTCCATCCATCCACCCATACCTCATCACTCATGCCACCCATCCGGTTCCCTTGACTATCTCCCTCCCCCCCCTAGTTGCCTAAGCATGCTGTTACCTGCCTATGTACAAGCCGTTCCGTGTGGCTAACTATTGAGGCTCTCGTTCCCTATTCAAGCTTTGATACCACTCCCTTGCGAAAAGAAGAGGAAGAAAACAGCATCAGCGGCATTGACAGTAGCTGTAATAGCTGTCATTTAATAGTAGCATTAGCCGTAGCAAGGAGAGTCTCTCAACATACCCAGCATCAATAACGTTAACGTCGACCATTGAATCTTTTTTTTTTTTTACATTTGCCTTTGTCTTTTATAACCCTACCCTGAGATATTTATTATTGTCATTTACCTTCCCCCTTGTTACTACTCGTTTGGCAAGCGGCGGCAGAGACACTCTGGTCGATCTGACACACACCACCACTCACTCGTCCCCGCTGTTGAGCAAGCACGCACGCACGCACTTGCCGGAACCTGCTTGCTTTTGGTCAGTGAATTTGCTCCCCCGTCCTTTTGCTGCTTCTTATACTGTCTGTTCTACCCCTCTTCCCCGTGCCTGTGCTTCCCCTCCCTCCCCACCAGCAGGCCTGGCATGCTTCGTGCCCCCCCTTTTTGTCCGCTTGCCTTGTGTGCTCACACGCCTTTGGCTGGCGCGGCCCGAACCTAAATCCCATGACCTCCGCTTGCTTCTTGCATTTCCGCATTGTGCTCCCCGTCATTCATCTTGCAATGATGTTCTTGCGTGCCTGGGGTTGTTTTGCCTTGGCTGCCTTCCCCTTGGCATGCGGTTCATGTCGTTATGATGGTTGGTGCTGCTGCCAGTGAATAAGGGCGTTGCAGTGGCAGCGGCATTGACAGTGACAGCGGGAGTGGGGAGTGGAGGGAGTTGAGGGAGTGAAGTGGAGTGGAGGTGAAAGTAGTAGCGGTCCTAATCACTGAGAGGTGGTTGGGATGGTGATTTAAAGATGACGATCGTGTTAGTGGTTAGAAATGACGATTATATTAGCTAACGCGTGCGTACTGCTTTGTAGAGGCTACCCCGAGTCCATGTCATTGTCTGGTTGGTTGCAAGACCCTTCGGCTGTCCAGAACTCAGCGTTCGTTAGCCCCGAGGTCCCTTCTGCGACGGGCATGCACTCCTACGATTCAGCGGCCGGCGTGATTCCTCCCTCCGCCATAGATCCCCATCAATTCCAGCAGGCAGCACATCAACGCGCCCAGCTCCAGAATGGTACGTCTCGGACGTCATCTCCCGGTTTCCCGCAACCGGCGTATAACGTGAACGCCGTAGTACCTCTCAAGAGACCACGTCCGCGTGAAGAATCTGCCACCTTATCCCCGCGTCAGTCAACTGGCAATCTCCCAACGTCGCGTTCCCACACGCCCATGGCACAGAACCCCCAACAGCTCGCGTACCAGATATATCAAAACAGCCAGAACGCGCAGCAGCAACAACAGCAGCAACGACAATATACACCTGTTGGATATCCTCATTCACATCTTCAGCATGTTGGTTCTGCTACTGCAAGTCCGTCGCCTGTCATGCAGAACCAGACGTTTAGTCAACAAAATGTCTCTCAGGTTCCCCCACCGAAACGTGTTGCAACGCAGTCCCCATCACCCTTTTCACCAGCGCCTTCTCAGCAGTCGTTCATGGCGCAAAGCTCTCCTCCACCGCCTGGTCATATTTCACGCGTTAGCACTCCACAAAATAACATTAGCTTAGCCATGCCTTCACAGCACGCCTACACCCAGAACTTCAGTCAGGGGTTCTCGCCGCCCCCTAGTACTGCATCTTCGTCCCCTGCCCCCATGCCCGCGCAACATATGCAACAACCGATGCAAAATCAGATGCAAGCGCAAATGATGTATCAGATGCAAGCGAGGCAGCAGCAGCAAAGAATGATTCAACAGCAGCAGCAACAACAACACCAGCAGCAGCAACACCAGCAGCAGCAACACCAGCAGCAGCAACACCAGCAGCAGCAACACCAGCACCAGCAACAACAACACCAGCAGCAACAACATCAACAACTTCAGCAACAGCAACTTCAGCAACAACAAGCGCAACGTATGGGAACTACCGCGCCGCCGAATTCGAACGTGATGATTCCCAATCCCATGAATTCTCAGGTGTCGCGCCCTCCAGGCCAAGGCCAGGGGCAAGTAGCTTCTGGTTCTGGACAAAGGCAACAGACTGATCCCAACCAATTCATGAAGATTCTCTATGAGTTTATGCAAAAGCAGGGAACTCCGATTACTGGCTTTCCGACTATTGCGGGAAAGGCTGTGAGTCTGGTCAATCTTTATGGGAGTGTGTTGAAGATGGGCGGATCACGAAAGGTCTCCGCAGAAAACAAATGGGCCCACGTTGCAATGAGCCTAGGATTTAGTGGCGACCAACACCCGTCACTAGCAGAAGAAATGATGAACATATACAGACAATACCTGGGGTCTTATGAGATGGCTTGGCTGAAAAATCAGCAGGATATGAAACGAGCGCAGATGGCGAGGCAGAACCCGCAACAAGTGCCAGACATGAGGCAGCAGCAGCAGCAGCAGCCTTCTATGCAACAGTCCCAACCGGTGAAGCAGATTTCAAATACACAAAACGCTCAGCAACAGATGCCACAACGACCTCAAGGAGTCCCGAAGCAAGCAACACCGGTGCCCAATAACCAAACGCGGCCTAACATGCAAAATGGGTATGCTGCTCAACCAGCAACGCCTGCAAGACCACAGGTTCAATATCAACAAAGTACACCAAGCCGAATCCCGATGGACATGGCATCCCCACACGGTCCCGTACCATCTCCTAGTTTCTCGATGCCGCCCACACCTTTACCACAGAAGGAATCAGCCGCCTTTTCAGCCCCCCAACACCCTGTTACGCCTATTAAGGAAATTCCGGCCGACTTTAAACCAAAAGTGAGAGTTTTGGATACCCATGGAGGGTTACCCGCGGCTGTTTTGGGACAAATTGGGGCGGAGATTATATTTCATAAGCCAACGATACCTATGTTTCAAGAGCTTGGAGTCATCGATATTCATGCTTTGACGATGATGCTCAAGTCGGGCTTGGCCGCTGAGGTCAGACATGCATTAGATACACTGGCAACAGTTTCTGTGGAATCGAGATGGTCAATAGCCCTAGAGAGCTGCGAGGATTTGATTGAGACATTAGTGGATGTGGCCGAGTCTCAGGTGGGATTGCTTACGGAGCACTCGGAAGAAAGCTCTGAAAGCATTGCTGTACCCGCCTACGAAGAAGTGATGAGAGCTTGCAAAGCAGAGGTAGATAGGCTTGTCGACATCCCACAATTTGGATCCATCGAATACGAACTAGAAAAAGCAGCCGATAAGTTAATTTGCATCACCACAATATTCCGCAACCTGTCGTTCTTTGAATCCAATCATAAGGCGTTGGCGGATCCCAATGTGGTTAGATTTTTGTCAGTCGTGATCGAAAGACTTGGCACTAGCAGGCTACTGCTCCGCACATATACCAACACCTTGGATTTTATGAAAGATATCATTATCTATCTGTCCAATCTCTCTCATTCAATTACACTACCTAGTGAGGACGAGGCACTTAATTTGTTGCACCTAATACTGGCATTTGCTCCTCAACCTCTCCCAGCAGTTACTGGGCGAGAAAATCTGATGTTCACATCATATTCCCCTTCAATTCATCGTTATCTTCCGCCCGCAGTTGATAGTTTGGCGAAGTTGCTAGCACGGGATGAACCAAATCGTGCATTTTATCGAACGATATTCCTTTCAGAATCATCGACGACACCCCCGTATGATCTTCTTACGCGCTCCTTTGCTCTCGCTATATCGCCAATTCCAGACAATACAAAGGTAACGCTGCCTCAGGTTGTGGAAGCGCGAAAACCTTTCTTGGAACAGGGCATGCTCGCTGCAGAGATTCTTGCTGGAATTGCTCCTGGCCCCGATCAAGGAATTGCACGGTCGTGGCTCTCATCTGAGGATGGGTTTGCCCTCAGTTTGTTGCGATTGGTTTGTTTATTGAGTCCCCAAGTTGGGCCAATGCATCCCCGACAAGGCGGTAAGATGCCAAGTCCGGATGATTCACAACCATTCGCACGGATCACACACCGGGGAATGGCAGTTTTACAAAGGTTGGCAGAAAAATCAGAGCTTGGAAAGGATGAGGCGTCGAGAGTTCCACTGGGGGTATTGCCGAAGAAGGAGAGTCTTTTAGGAGCGTTGTTGACAGTTCAGATAGACGGTGCTATTGTTAAGCAGCTTTGTACTTATGCAGGGCTGAATGATTGAGGGAAATAGGTATCTTTTTGTAATGGTCCGTTCTGCGAGGCGCAGAGGCGGGGGAAGGGGGTTTGGATGGTTCGTATTTGTATAAATGCTGGGATCAAGTCTGTTTCATTGTGGAAATTACTATATCACTTTGCTATTTCTTTTTTTGTTCTGTACTTTACCAGAGGGATCATCGGCGTCCCTTGCATCTAACTAAACGGTGGAGCGATATTTTGGAGGGTAATTTATGCCTCTTTCAACTTTGTACACTTACATGAGTTTTCTTTTTTACAGTAGGAAAGGGAAACGCCAAATAATAAAATGAACACGCAGAGTTTACATCAAGATATCCCGAACCACCAATTAGTTTGTTGGCACTCCGTGTCTCTAAGGGTAGCCACACTAATGTCAAATGGTAGATATCAAAATCTTAGTCCCTGCAACCATGACGATAGATCCTTCTTAAACCATCCCTTAATTATAACATGTCTCGTGCGCCCGTTGATTGAGACCGACTCTTTGTCGATGCCCAAACGATTGATTACATGACCTCTCAGTGCATTAAGGTCTCCATCAACCTTGCGTATCCGTGTTTCCTTCTTATTGCTCCCGCGGAGTTCCTCGTAGACAGGGAGGTTGTTGGTTTTGGTGCGATGGATGAAGTAGGGAAGTTGGGATTGAGATTCGGGGGTGACTGAAGGAGGTTAGTTGGGCAGCCAATCGAGCAGTAAAAGGAGGAGAGCTCACTCTCTTCTGCTCGTCGGGTTGTGGTGGTGAAGCGAGCAGTGTGGGCCTGTCGGAGGAGTTGAGAACGCAATGCCCTTAGGGTAATTGAAGGGGAGTACGTGTATAGCATGATGCTTAGCACTAGTCGATTTTTTTGTTTTTCTGGGTGATGGAGGGATTCGCGATGCTGTACTGTCGTCTGGCACTTCGTGGGAAAAACCGCGCGCCGTATCAGATGGCGAACTCACTAGATGTCTTGGCGTACGAAGTTTAGTCTGGCGGGGAGGGAAAAAAAGACAGTCCTTTGCAACCCCACATCTGTCTCCTGCAACCATCCACAACGTTACAGGCCAAACAAAACACCAAAAATCGGTTTAAACAACAACAGCTCTAATTCGAGTTTGTTGGAACTGACGCCTAATACTTTCGAATATGGCCGACAGTGTGGAAGCTGGTAGCAACGATGTTGCTGTCTCCTATGATCTCATTCCTAAGCTGATGCCCCATCTTGACCGGCACCTAGTGTTCCCGCTACTCGAATTCGTACAGCAGCGTGGAATATTCACCGACGAAGAAATTACTCAGGCGAAGTATGATTTGATGAAGGGCTCGGATATGGTAGATTTTGTCAGTTCACTGTACACAAAAATCCATAATACCGATGACCCCCCCGAAGAGCTTATTGGGAAGAGGGAGGTGGTCTTGCAGAGGTTAAAGGACCTTGGGGAACAAAGTGAAAAGGTTATGCAGCTGCTTGAGGATCCGGACGTTGTGGGGAATTTGCGAAGTGATAAGATGCAGAATATGCAGTACTTGAAGGATAACCATGGGGTATAATTGCTCTTAACCGTGGGAAAAGCAGAAATTGAAAGTAAAAGCTGAGAGCTAATCTAGGATAACTTCTGATAAAGGTTACAGTCGAAAGTGTCAATGTGCTTTTCGAATATGGAAGGCAACGATTCAGATGCGGAGACTACGCCGCTGCCGCCGATATTCTCTACCAGTTTCGTGTGTTGGTATGTCAGGCCTTTAATTGGCTAAGCTTCTTGGTACTGATATTTCTATTTAACAGTCCACGGATTCGGACAAGACTAGTCAGGCTACCTGGGGGAAGCTTGCCTGTGAAATTCTGATGACCAACTGGGAAGGTGCAATGGAGGAGGTCACAAAGGTTAAGGACCTGATTGAACAAAAGCTCTACAACAACCCTCTTGAACAGCTTCAACACAGGACATGGTTGCTTCACTGGTGCTTATTTCCCTTCTTCAATCACGAACCCTCTAAGGATACGCTTCTTGAGATGTTTTTCTCACCTGCCTATATCAATACTGTTCAAACATCCTGCCCGTGGATCCTCAGATATATCGCTGCTGCTGTCATCACCAACCGCAATAGGAACCGGAATACTGTACAGTACCAGAAACAACTTAAGGACCTCGTCCGAATAGTGAAGCAAGAGATTTACGAGTACCGTGACCCTATTATTGACTTCGTTGCGGCCCTGTACATCGACTTTGATTTCGAAGAGGCGCAACGCAAGCTGGGAGAGGCAGAGGAGGTTCTCAAGAGTGATTTCTTCTTGGTAGCTACTGCTGAGGAATTCGTGGATTCGGCAAGACACTTGATCTCTGAAAGCTATTGCAAGATTCACCAGCGCATTGATATTAAGGACTTGGCGCAGAGGTTGAACTTGAGTCAGGATGAGGGTGAGAAGTGGATTGTCAACTTGATCCGCGACACCAGAGTCGATGCGAAAATTGACTACAAGGACGTAAGTTGATGAGTCTGGCTCGTATACATTAATGAGGTTGTTACTTATATCTATCTTAGGGAACTGTTATCATGAACCATCCTCCACAATCGGTATACCAGCAAGTAATTGAGCGAACAAAGGGTGGCTTTTTCAGGACACAAGTTATCTCGTATGTCTCCCAAAATACGAACTATATATATATAATCCGATGCTAACCTACCTCCTTATAGTGCTGCGGTTTCAAAATCTTGAAATGTTGGTTGTCTCTTTTTTTCTGTGTTCGTATTTTCAATTCATTGGGGCAATCAATTAGTAGATTAGGGATTTGAATAAAAGACGTAACAAAAACTGCGATTCTTGTCGCAGAAAGATATCGAGAAGCTTTGATTGTGGTAGTTGGTACACATGGTGGCTTGAGCGGTGGCTCGAAATCTTTACTAACTCGGAAAAATTCAACATTATTATTATTAGTCATTTCAGACAAGCTGATGGTTTCTTTTTTTCAACGATCTAATTACATATCTACTTTGAATTATTGACAGGATGACCGCATAAATTGAGTGCCAATAATATTAGGATAACCCCCCAGCTTATTACTAAATTGTTGCTGTGCAGCCCAGCTCGTAGACCCATGTGTGGCTATTAAGGTCTGAGACGAGCTGAAGTTGTTTGATGGGATGAGCATAAGAATAGGTAGAATGATCATTGGATCCTTCTCAAGCTGAAACACTGGCTTCGCATGTGTTCTACTACTATGTTTTGTTTCTGTAGGTATGTACTCTAGACCGAAAGTCATCGTGTGTAGCACAGAAGTGGCAAAGCGTACCTGGGCGTTTGTTGTGGAGACGCCCCATGTTTATCCTACTTGAGCCGCAATCCCGTAGTTATACTCAACTCCTTACTGTTTGGCCTTGCCTTCTCATTCTTGTCTTCGAAGCTCGGATAACTCCCCACTCAACACCATAAACTAGAGGGCCTAGCCGCTGCCCCTCAAGCTCTTCGATACTCAACACGAACTTTACTAATCCTTCCTCCAATAGCCAACCTAAATATGTCTACCAGCAATAATGTGCGGATAATTGCCCGTGTACGCCCTCTCCTGAAAAACGAAATAGAGAAGGATATTGTTGTTCGCACAGAGGGGACAGCTATTTCCATGCCAAATCCGAAAAACGAGAACGAGAATTTCACATTCCCTTTCAACGCGGTGCATGACAGCGAGTCTGATCAATCACAGCTATTTTCTGAGGGTACGTTATTCAATTCCTTCATGTCTCTTCTCCAAGCTAACGGGCATGCGAATAAGTGTCGCCAACAATAAAACATCTATTTAAAGGCAACGATGTTACAATCTTCGCCTATGGTGCTACTGGTAGTGGTAAAACTTACACTATGCGCGGTCAAAAATCAGCTACGGAAAGAGGCATCATTCCGCGTCTTCTCAACGCCATCTACCGTCGCGGAAAGGAACTGGAACGAAAGTCAGAGGGGGAAATAACAATGACGGCAACCATGAGTTACTACGAGATCTACAATGACAAAGTCTTTGACCTTTTTATGGCGCCCGAGAAACGCACGCCTTCAGGCCTATCACTGCGAGATAACGCAGGGAAGACGGTGGTTGTCGGGTTGACGGAGAAAGAGATCTCGTCACTTAAAGAGTTCGAAACATTATACGATAAAGCCAACAACAACCGTTCCACTTCTGCCACAAAGCTCAATGCACATTCAAGTAGAAGTCATGCTATTATATGCGTCCGAGTCGCTATTTCGAATCGCGATACGGGCGAGACCCGAACGGGCACAGTCTCATGTATCGATTTAGCAGGCAGCGAAGACAACCGCCGAACCTGTAATGATAAAGAGCGTATGATTGAATCCGCCAGTATCAACAAATCTCTATTTGTCCTTGCGCAGTGTGTCGAAGCGATGACTAAAAAACAAAACCGCATACCTTACCGCGAAAGCAAAATGACACGCATCCTCTCACTTGGTCAAAATAACGGGCTCACGGTGATGATCTTGAATCTTGCCCCCACGAAGGCATTCCACATGGATACCCTTAGTGCACTTAACTTTGCCAATCGCGCCAAAAAGATTGAGTTGAAGCAGGCCGAAACAGACTATACACCAGCGGCTACCTATTCCAACCGCCAGCCATTGCCAGCGCTATTAAGTAAAGAACCAACTCGTGCTTTCGGAACTGCAAAGACAAATACTACACAGCACATACCGAGACCTTCGCTCGCTGAAAAATCACTCAAGGCAACACGCGCACCACTTGCTGCTAAGCCTGTTAAGCCGTTACATAAACCGGCCTCTTCCGGGATTACTAAAAACCGTCAAAGCGATAGTCGTATGTCGACGCATCTATCCTCTGCTAATATCGCGGATATTGTCGAAAAAAAAGTGGAGGAAATTCTCGCAGCACGCGCACTCGAATCTGCCAAATCCCCTCCACCAGTATCAGCGGATGTATCTTTCGACCTTAGTAGACGACTCGAGCTCCTCGAGAAAAAACTCGAAAAGAAGGCAGATGCTC